CAACGACGAACGGCCGCCATAATCCCTTACCTTGCTGCACAGTGGCGTTTGCCGGCGAAGCTGAGTTAGAACTCGACGCAGGCATATTTGCCGGCAGTTTGGGTATGAGAACAAAACTGAAAGGTGAATGTGCGGATTTTTCAATGTGGGGACAGTCTAGGGAGAGCACATTTTTCAAGCTTTTTTTTTTTTTTTTAAGAAATATAATAATTAGAAAGTTAGTAAATTTAGTTGTTAGTATCTAAGACTTCCCAGATTGATGAACATTTCACTTTCTCATATGAGACGAACAATTATTAGATCGCAAGTTAATGAAGTTCACAACGATAGTAAAACTCGAAATCTCACCCACCCCACCCAAACCCTAAGGCTTGGCCAACCCCTGAGCCTTAGCCTGGTTGGCCATTTTTCAAGCAATTGTACTCTTGTAAGACGTGTACATTTTGTTGTCAGCATATTTACTTTTAATGGATTAGATTGGGGTAGAGTGTGCCTTTATAATTGTAGTAGGAAAAATTACTCTTGAAATATGCAAAGCACAATTTTTAGTTTTGAACGTTAAAAGTGCATTTTAGACACCAAAATTATTTTTTGTTTATTAATTTTATTTTTAATAAATTTTTTTATCATGTTATAGGATAAAAATATATTTTTTATATTTTTTATTATTAATATACATAATAAAATTAAAAATTGATATTAATTTTATCAATTATTTAATAAAAAAATATTGATGTGTCATACATATTAAAATTAATATTAATTTTTTTTATTTTTTATGTAAATTAATACATGATTAATTAATAAAAAATAAAATAAATGTACCATTATCCTATACTCTTAGAGCACAGGATAGATAAATCATTTAATAAATTTAATTTCTAATAAGAAATATTTAAATTTAATTATTTATTCTTTTTCTTAAATGTCATTTATTCTTTTCATTCAATTTTAGTTGAATTACAATAATTTCTATTTTTTTTTAATTTTTTATAATTACTAAAATCAAGTGTAAATTGAATATTTACAATATTAATTTTTATATTCAAAGATTATGTAATATCTTCATACTTCCAGACTTTCACATCCATATTTAGAAATAAGTTTATAGAATGCTTTTCTTGTTAGAAAGAATATTAATCTCTTCTAATATATTTTCTTGGACAAAAGTTTAATTTTCATATCTGTGGATTCATCCAACGACAGGCATGATTTAAGCTTTCAACGTTCTAGAACATATTTAATAGGTTCTAGAATGTATGATGAATCTTAAAATGAAAGGCTTTCCTTTTGAGTAGCAATGGCTAGATTGAATTGAATTGAATTTGTATACAAGGGTTTACAAGGATAGACGGTAGGAAGAAGAGGAAGAACGTAAGAAAAACCCTAAGTGCTGATCTTGTGAAAAAAGCTCTCAATATTGAAGTCTTGTTCTTGTGCCTTCCATTGTTTACTCGATTGTACGTGTTATAGTATATTTTCTTTTCCGTTGATCTCTTTCATTACGTGAGCAAGGGAGTGTTTGAGGAGAAAATCTTGTTAGATTTAAAAAAACTTTCTAGTGGTTAAGATTGGGTTTAGAGAGAAATTGTAAGAAGGAGCAAGTTATTGAAGGCAAATAATGCCAAAAAAGCTATCATGTATGGTTGTTCCTACATCGATAAGTTGGATGAGAATGTTTGAATTTAAATTGAAGTTTCGAGTGAGAGATTTGAGGAGTGGATTAAGCACATATTATAACTAAACCACTATAAATCATCATGTTTTATTTTCTTTCTTCCCTTACTCTTTTAAGTTCTACACTTTAGTTTAATTGTTTGTCGGCAGACTTGCTTGTTCATCGATTTCATTATAAAATTGTGTAAGTTTTTTAAGAACCCAATTCACCCCCTTCTTAAGTTCCCATCTTTTGGGCCAACAATTTTTAATTTAGAACATTCAAATTTAGTTGTTCACTTTTTGTTAGAAGGTTATTTAATGTATTTATTTTTATTTTATTTGTATTTAAAAAAAATAATTACAACATGTATTGGATAAGAAGTCTCCTTTAAGTTATAATTAATTAGGTATAAATAAAAATTTTATCAATAAATTATTACATTTCTATTTTACTGTATTAGATAAAAAAAATTAAGTTAATAAAGTTAAACAGAGAGAGTAATACATTTATTTTATTTTATCATCATTTTAAAAACAGATAATTACAACATCCTCCAAATAAAAAGTCTTATTTAAGGACTAGTATTTAATTAAAAATAAATATAAGATTTTATTAATATTTATTATTACATAGATTAAAGAAAAAAAAAAAACAAAGTTTACCAAAGATTAAAAAAGGGAGTAAATTACTTGAGTTTTTTTCTTAAAAAATTTATTAAATTTATAGTTTGAACTATAATTTTACTTTTGTCATCTAGTTTGAACTAAAAAACACATTTTTAAATTTACAATCAGATGTGTTCTTATCTCATATAAATATATATATATATAATTGAATTAGTTT